TTAGTAATAACCACAGAAAACATAGATTACTGTGCCACAGACTATAAAAGATGAGAATATAAAAATGTTGCCAATATAAGGCAATTAAATTAGCAGTAAAGCCAAAAAAGAAATACAAATGGTTGTGTTCTCATTTATCAACACCTTCAGCTTTTTTAATTATTGTTTATGGTCCGATCTATGAAAAATGAACTGACTATGCTATCATAACCGCAGACTTCCCGGAACGTTGATGCTTCACATCCGGGGTTAGAGCCCATACAGATGTTATTTATTTGAACTATAACTTTGACAATGAGTATATTTCTTTAAATACTGCATCAAACACCAGATCTTCAAGAGGAAGACCCAAAAAACGCTACTTACTGATGTTTCAGGAGATGAACTGAGAAATCTGTACAAAGAGCCAATCGCCTGGCCAAAAACACTTTATGATGATTTGATGAGTCTCTGTAAAACTAAAGCAATCCCGATACATTATCATACATTTTATAACAATTTGCATTGTGTTGGAAACTCTGAAGAAGAAATCAAAATTGAAGGCGAAGATTCAAATTAAAGTAGCATAATATTTTCAAATTCCCGCTAAGAAAATTGAAAATTTTCAAAAATAAGGAAGTTGTTGGTTTTACCCCGATTTTTTTATTTTTAAGGTATTGACCATTTTATTTTTGTTTCTAAAGTTCAACAGTTAATAAAAAATACATGATTTTATTCAAATTAAGGTAGTATAGTTTTTTTTTCTTTTTAAGGGATTGACCGTTTTATTTTTGTTTCCAAAGAATAATAGTTAATAAAAATTATATGATATTACGCAAATTATATTTTGATTGATACATGATTATTATACAAAATAATGCGTTATTTATTTATAAAAAATAATAATCATTTTAAATTTAATTAAACAAGAATAAGGTAGTAGTAACATTTAAAAAGTGATTAGTTTCATAAAATATTGTAATAAAATGATAAAAATAAAACTTAATTGCAATGTAAGGTCGGTCTGTTACAATGGTTACATAAAAATATATTTAATTTAAAGATTCTAAAATAGCGATTAGTGGATGATACAGCTAAGCTTTGGCTATAAAATTTCCTTGAAAAAGGTGGTAATCGGCTGGTACACTCGAGATCTAAAGTGGAAATCACGTGGTATTATATTCTTACATTCCTGAATATATGTGGTCGGTGTGTTTAAACAGTCGCTAATGATGTTGCAATTGAAATGACGTGATCTATAATTTGTATTATATATTTTTTCAATTATGTCATTAAATATTTATAGCATTACAAATACTTTCAAAGGAGTAGATTGGTAAAAGATGTTAATAAGAGAGTAAAAGAAGTAGTTGAAAGAAAAAAGCAAGAAAGAACGGATAAGAATGATAGAAGAATATCGGATAACTTCCAGGCAAATATTAAAATGTTCTGGAAACTTGTAAGAACTGCCAGGGGACATTCAAAACAGTCTATGATGAATGTTATAAGAGACGAGAATGGCTATATTCTGAAATAAAAAATAAAAATATAAATTTCTTTGCAACTTTCCGCTAAACATATAAAATGATGTGTCTTACCTGGATTGAAGCGCACCTCCCGCCCTCCCTCAATTGCATACACTAACTCCGTCACCACTAGACCAAGCACCACTACTCTCAACACCACTATTCCAGGCAAGACACACCATCGACGATAATACGACACGTGTTTCGCCTCTACACGAGGCATCCTCAGGTAATATAGACTCTACGGCGGCTGACCGCTAAGAAATCTTATAAGAAAATATAGACTCTACGGCGGCTGACCGCTAAGAAATCTTATAAGAAATCTTAGCGGTCAGCCGCCGTAGAGTCTATATTACCTGAGGATGCCTCGTGTAGAGGCGAAACACGTGTCGTATTATCGTCGATGGTGTGTCTTGCCTGGAATAGTGGTGTTGAGAGTAGTGGTGCTTGGTCTAGTGGTGACGGAGTTAGTGTATGCAATTGAGGGAGGGCGGGAGGTGCACTTCAATCCAGGTAAGACACATCATTTTATATGTTTAGCGGAAAGTTGCAAAGAAATTAATATTTTTATTTTTTATTATAATGGATTTCCGCAAAGTAACGCCTGATTCTATCAATTATATTCTGAAAGATGAAGTTTTGAGTTTAAAGAGATGGAAGGAATATTTTGAAAGCGTGTTTATGAGTGAGGAGACAACGTGTGTACTAAGTGAAGTAGAAACTCCGAAAGAAGAGGAAAGAGGTAGCGAGATAAGTATAGATGAAATAATGAAAGCAATGAAAAGCATGATAGCAGGTAAGACTGCCGGATATGATAGAGTTTCACTCGAAATGCTAAGGGCTGGAGGGGAAGTCATGGCAGGCCTGCTGCAGACCTTGTTTAATTTATGCTGGGAACTGAAGCGGGTACCGGTAGACTGGTGCAAAGCCGTGATAGTCCCAGTATATAAAGGAAAAGGGTCGCATCAGGACCGTAAAAACTACCATGGCATCAGCCTTCTTAGCATTATGGGAAAACTGTATGCTAAGGTACTGATTGAAAGGGTCATGAAAGAAACTGATGGAAAAATTTGGGATGTGCAAGCGGGATTCAGAAAGGGAATGGGATGTACAGATCAAGTCTTTTTCATGCGCATGATCGCGGAGAAGTTTTTGGCCAAAAACCAAAAGGTTTTTTGTACGTTCACGGACTTGGAAAATGCCTATAACAGAGTGGATAGGGATGTGCTATGGCAAACACTGAACTCATTTGGGTTGAGCGCTGGCTTGATACAGGCATTGGAGTCTCTTCCAACCATCAAATGCCTTTTGTAAGCCGATGATCAAGTTATCCTTGCGTCGTCGGCGGCCGAGTTACAAATGATGGTTACATTAATGAACAGATCATTAAAAGAAAGGGGTATGAAAGTGAACGCAAGTAAGACGAAGATTATGGTTTTTGAAAGAGAAGAAAGTAAAACGATTTGTGAAATAAGAATAGAAGGGGAGTTGATCGAGCAAGTAGATGAGTTTGTATATTTGGGCTGCGTATTTAGCAGGGATGGGAGATATGATAAGGATATAGAACGACGAGTGAATGCGGGAAATAGAGTAAATGGGGCCCTGCACTCTATTGTGAAGAGTCAAAATGTGTCAAAAAGGCACGTTTGGCAATTCACAATGCTGTGTTGGTCCCTACTTTAACGTATGGTAGTGAAAGTTGAGTATGGCAGAAGAAGCATGAGAGTAGAATCATCGCAGTAGAAATGCGGTCCTTAAGGAGTATGTTAGGGCTGAATCTGAACGACAGGGTAAGAAATTGTGTAATAAGAGAAGAGTGTGGTTTGCAAGATGATGTTGTGACCAGGATTAAGAAAGGAATGCTTCGGTGGTTTGGTCATGTGGAAAGAATGAATGAGGAAAGAGTGACAAAGAAAATTTATGTTGCAGAAGTGAATGGCAGAGTCGGAAAGGGACGTCCTAGGCAAAATGTTATGGAACAAATTGGCGATATATTGAAAACGGGCCAAATTAGGAGCACCCTTAACCGACGAGCATGTATGCGTAGGTGTATGGGTGTGAAGGAGGCGAGAGAGGTGTGTCAGGATCGTGCCAAATGGAAGTCTGTAGTCTCTGCCTACTCCTCTGTGTGACAGGCGTGAGTGTTTATGTATTTATGTATGCATGTAGATTGGTAAAAAAATAGCTTTAATTTTATATATTGAACGCCTGTTTTGGATCACTGTACACTGAACTATAAACAAATTAGCGTTTTTTTTATTTCTCCTGTAAAATTTGATTTTTGATATTATCGCGTTATTGCCCGGGGCCAGCGAATTGTACTACTGGTGATTTTTAAATCAGGAATTTCATGATTGCTAAAAATCTCATAGTCAACACTATTGGAGGCGTTACTGAAATTTAGGGAGGACAAGAAGTTAAATCGAAAAGTGAATATGTGCAGTGATCGAAAACCACACTTATAGTTAAATTATATAGTTTAAATATGTTGTGAGCTGGCTATGAAAAACCTTTTCAAGAATTTTAAAGTAAAGTAAAATATAAGTTCTCGTAATGGCTTAAACTAGTTGGAGAGACATTTTTGGGGATTAGGAACTTTTTTTTTTTTTCACTTAGTAGGGAAAGTGCTAAAGGCAACGTAAACATTTATTAGATGGTTCATAAAGGAAACTATTTGGTCCAAAATCGGCATAAATATTACAAAAACACGTTCAAGGCGACGCACTTCTACAACTTCTCACTACTATTTTAATGCTCCAATATATTTATATCTAATACGCCATATAGTGGCGGTAGAAGAGAATCCAGCGACTAGTTAATTTTGTTCTAGGAGTGTCGTATGAGAGACGGTTTTACTCGAACACAATGATAAAATTACCAAAGATTTTAGATGGTTTTCAAATATAGTCAGCTTACTCCTGATACAACAAAAGTGATAAACAATATTTTTAACAAAAGAGTATAATTAGGTAAATTTTATAGGGATTTTGTGAAAATCTAAAGTACTTCCTAAAAATCATTACGTTATCAGGTTAGAAGCACAAAACCACCGATAAAAATAAAACAAACGGTATATGACGTAGTTTTATGGCATACATTTCAAACTCATTACAATAAATTAGATAAGACTTAATCTGTATACATAGTATATTATGACAAAGTCGCTTCATGCCGTCTGTAGGCTTAGATATTTTATACTACGCAACGGATTTTAATGCAGTTTTACTCAATAGACAGAATGATTTAAGAGAAAAGTTTATATGTTTACTACATGCATATTATAATATATTATACGATTCCTCTGTCCGTGCGTATGTGAGTGCACTTTTCCTAAACGGCTGGACCAATTTTGATGAAATTTTGTGTGTATGTGATAAATTTGATTAGAGAATGGTTTAGATTAACAATTGAACCCGGTAGGTTGCGTTGTTGTCGAGATCTAGAAATCAACTATGCGAAGCTGGGTCAGGTCGCTAGTTCCTTATAAATCTAAGTTTAGGACATGTTTTGTGTATTAATAACGACTTGATTTCCCCTGGCGATCGCCTGAGCCCTGGCAACTTTTGAACCAGAAGCGTTTGCTGTGGCGGTGGCGACACCAGATTCATATGCGTATGCCGAGCCGTCGCCATATGATGAGTCAATAGTGTGTACTGTAGCGGTCGCGACTCCTGCATCGTATGAATATGCTGTGGCGGAGGCACTTGATCTGCCGTGAGCAATTGCCGTAGCAGTCGAAATTCCCCTACCATAAGTTACAGCTGTTGCGGTAGCGTATGCTGAACCTGAGGCTATTGCTGTAATAGTTTGTGATCCCGCGCTATTGCTGCCCATCACGGCAGTGGTAACCACTGGGCTAGAGCCAACTGCTTTGACAGTGGTGCTTATCTCTCCAGTTTCTAATTCTGTAATGAAGGTTTCATTGAGGATATTATAAATGAGTCATTTCAGTAGAGAAATATGTCTAATGATTGACGATATGTCTCAAAGGTTACAATGTATATAATAAAAGATAAAACATAATATGTCACGTGTAGTACTTGACTCGGTCGCTTATTTAAATTAAGTCAATTTATGGCATTGCAAGCGCAAAATTCATGCGTCGTACACGCGTTACATACATAGAGATTACTTACGTCACGAAAGTATCGTGACGTAAGTAATCTCTAACCTCAACCCACGTATTACTAATCTGTAGTTTCATTATAGATGATCCGGTGAATATTTTTCACCTGAATGGCATGGCATTTCGCAATCCATTCACAATTCACCTGTTCGTAGTAAGTAAATGTTCTGTAGCCCAAAATTTATCTTTGGTCAGGATTCAAAATTCAGATCAGTTAAAATCTTAAGGATTAAGATGGAATTTCTTTCAATGGGAAAATTCCAGAGAAGTCATAAAGAAGAATTCAGTGGGTCGTAGAAATTATCATCATCATCTCAGCCCTTCACGTCTCAACTGCTGAACATGGGACTACAGAAATACGTCATTATTACTCTCTTATTTTATGCTGATATTATGTGAGAGCGTGGTCCTTAAACAAAATGCTTCATGCTGCATAACAAAAAGCAGTGTCAGTTACGAAGACTACTGGTGCAACATCCATCAATTCACATGCTGATAATCAACATCATCATCATCATCATCATCATTACAGCCCTTCACAAGTCCACTGCTGAATATAGGCCTCCCCCAAGTAATGCCACAAAGCACGGTCCTGAGCCACCTGCATCCATCGACTTCCTGCATATCTTACCAGGTCGTCACTCAATCTAGTGGGGGGACCCCCTACACTACACCTACCGGTACGAGGCTGCCACTCGAGAACCTTTCTTCCCCATCGGTTATCGATTCTTCGAGCTATATGACCGGCCCATTGCCACTTCAGCTTACTAATCCGTTGCGCTATGTCGGTCAATCTAGTTTTACTGCGGATATCCTCATTTCTGAGTCTATCACGCAGAGAAACTCCGAGCATAGCCCTCTCCATAGCTCGCTGAGCGACCTTGAGCGTCCTCATACGGCCAGCAGTGAAGGACCACGTCTCTGATCCGTAAGTCATCACTGGCAACACGCACTGGTTGTACACTTTAGTTTTCAGAGATTGAGGTATACCTGACGAGAAGATGTGTCGTAATTTCCCGAACGCTGCCCAGCCGAGTTGAATCCGTCGATTGATCGATAATCAACAATTTAAAGTTAAATATCTGTACCTTATGCATTATTTGGTGTCAACAAAATTAAAATTACCTAACAAAGGAGCTGACAATTCTTCCTCCAAAAATGGAAATCCAGTGCGACTAGCCAATACTATCATTCTAAAGTTTTCGTGCACAGAAATAAAACTCGCTGATTTTCCACCAAAACTATTCATAAATTCTTTGGGAATTATTCTTCTATTATCACTCAATACCATTTCTCCATTTTGCATTAAAGTGTTTAAGCTAGATGTCACAATTATAGGTGCTTTGTCTGCTTCATCTACGACTAACACGTGGCCATATTTAACGGCTCTGACCAGTGGTGAATCCTCGTAAATGCCAGTTGCATCTTTGGTGTTCAGCTGTACTGTCAAAGACTGCATCGTTGTGTCGCGGTGTAGTTGCATATATTCCGTGGGGCGGTCCAAAGTCTGTAACAGTCTGTCCACAATTTTTTTATTTCCCAATCCTTCTTTCTCAACTAGCAATAAATGATTCCCTCTTTCAATGTCTTCGAGCAACAATTCAATTACTTCTTTATATTGCGGCATGTCACTGAAAAGTGAATCGGGTACTTTCTTCAAAGCCTCAGTTCCCGTGATTTTCAAATTATTCATCGGACTTTTACTTGAATTTTGATTCAACCAATCGATCATGGAAAATCTTGGTAGAGATATGCCGTACTGAAAATAAAAATAATGTTTTGTTTAATCAAGACTCAATTAGTATGACATCATAAAATACACAACACATCTTACATAGAGTGAAGGAAGCTACAGAAATTGAGAAAAAAATAACCTGCTTGGGATCCTGTAATTAACAAATTTAATACAGAACCTAAGCACACCAATGAATAACTACAAGACATTTAAAAATAGGTAAACCTAAATGCAATAAAATCCGTCAAAAATAGTTTTAGTGTAATGTTCGCGTAAATATAGGAAATCGTTACAGAGCTTAACACCAATCTTAAGTGCCTGGCTTCTACATTGTCTTTCCTATGCTTAAAACACTAAGTTCAATCACTTTATAGACAAATTTAAATTTTAGATATAGGTTGTGAAATTATATAATTCTTACGTGTCTTATGCGTCTGCGTTTCCCATTGCGTTACGCACTTGTTGTGTGCGTGTGCGTGTGCTAGGGCGTGGAAGTACGCATGTGCGTGTGCGTGTGTGTGGCGAAAACGTCCTTATTTTATGTTATGGCATCTTCAACAGATTTATTGAGTTCATCAATCATTCAAAAGGTTTTAGTGTAAAATACCTTTGATACATAGCACTTTCTCAAAGAGGTACACAGGCTTTTGACTTCGTATTACCCTGTCCACAGTACTTTATTGAGATACGGCGTGATAAATTATTTTTTCGGTACATTTAAGCGGAAACAAACACAGGTAATATTTGTTGACATTTAGTACTGCAATAGTTGAATTCGGATAGCACGTACTACAAAATGACATAAAGTATTCCTAAACCCTCCTTAAGATAAGACGTGATTTTGTAATACGTTTTGAGCTTGAAAAATCTATTTCCATTATTTACGAGATCAACAGTCTTTTAAACCGACTTCAAAAAGGAGTAAGTACTCTATTCGGTTGTATTTTTTGCATGTTACTTTTTTTAGGTGAACTGATTAAGATGATTTTTTTTATTTGAAAGCTGGTGCTTCTCATGTGGTTGATCAACGTCTGACTGTTTTGAGTTGTTCTGAGCTGTTTTGAGCTATCCTCAATAATTTATATTGAAGTCGCTTGTAGAATTTTTTTTAATTTTATCACTGTAGACCCCATATAAATCAAACAGAGATTACGTACAAGGTTATTTATTTAAGAACAACATTATTGATTTTTACTTTTTCTACGTCTAATATATTTTTTATTTAGCGTTTAGTGCCCAAACTCAAAGTTAATGATTTACATGCGTTTTAAACCAAAGAATTAACTTTTTTTTTTTTTTATAGAATAGGGTGACAAACGAGCACACAGTCCACCTGATGGTAAGTGGTTGCTGTGGCCCATAGACATCTACATCTATCCTCGATTACAAAACAAAATGCAGATGCGTTGTCACCCGTGAGGACTGAGATGGAATGCCTCATTTCCAGTAAAAAGGGTCTCCGGTTCTCTACACTCACCATACGAAATACAGCAGCATTAAGCTACTATTTCACCCTGGTATTCTGTGAGAGCGTGGTCCTTCCCCGGTCGAGCCGACCCATTCGTGCTACAACTATACTACTAATATAACTGCAGCATGGCTCTACCACGTAAAAACTTGAAACTATGTAGGTATACTGCTGAAGTTGTCATAATTTTTCTATAGCTTCTAGAGTATCTTTACTATTAAACGAGTGATTAATCTTCGGTACTTAAATATTTTCTAAATTTTATATGCATAGGTAGTTGTGACTTTCTGGATGAATTCGCATAGAAATAACGCTGAATTTATTCACAAGCTCCGTTTGTTTGCATTAAATGCAGCTGAATATTCGAAAAACAAGAAAAATCATTAATAGAACGCGCGCACGGCCTCGCGTACGATAATGAACTTCACCCTACTTCCTAAATGTTTGGTTCATAATGAACCGACGATCGTACCTACAGCTGTTACACTCGAATTGCTTATGGAATAATGCAGCAGGCTATGACGGTCCAGCCCACAGTCGTTTTGGCCGCATGCAGCGGCCAGATACGATGAACAAATTTTGTTAGCTTGTCGTAACACCACTTATCTTCTCGCAACTCATTTTTAAGCCACTTGCACTCCGGAAACGTATGCTTTGAGATATCGCAATAACGGCACTTTACACTGTCATTATTTAAATCGCGAATTCACTACGTATTTCGCTTACAAATGGTTGCGTATCCACCGAACTAACACTGGATTATTATACTTTGATATTTCAACTGCTTTGTTAGTTAGAAGTTGCAACATTTTTGCTATCGTATGTTCAGCTTCTAGTGAGTGAGAATGATGGCAGCCTTTTTGAGTATAAGGACTGTTAGTTAGCAGCTTAGATAAAATTGATGATACTGTATGCACGCCTTGTAGATATTTGTGACGGCACACGGCATGGACTGCGACATAATTTCTTTGTGATATTCTTGTGTGAAAATTTTCAGTTTTTTAATATGCGTGAATATTATTATATATGCAATAAAATTATGCGTGATAAAATGGTTTTCAAATTGCAGCTCAAGTGTAGACATAACAGTGTCTGGTGAAGATGCACTAATACGTAACGCCGAGGCTGCCTCCTTTGCGGTTCCATGAAGGCACTTCTTTAATCGCCATAGGTTTTCTTTGACATTAAAATTACATACCTCGGGGGATTTTTGATAGGATAGCCTACTAGTAGGTTGTAATTTGGTTCATTAGACGATGAAGCCGTTAGATCCTTCAAAGCACTCGCCAACATCTGAACTGTTCTCTCAGCATCGGCGTTTTCTGTCACCAGCGGACACTGAGCACTGATAGGTTGACCATTATCGCTGGTACAATGCATATGCAGCTCACATCTCAACCTTTTCTATATACTGTTTGTCCGATGGCAGCTGTATTACTCTTTTAAGTCTGCTATAACCACAGCTACCCTTTTGCCAATGAGCTCCATCTGTATGCGAGCTTTTGCTTCTATTACTTCTAGCTCCAGATATTTTCTTCTTGCTTGAAGGGATGAGAATATAGACGGTGATGATACAAATCCTGAAAGTGAATCGGGAGCCGTAACGGTATTTTTCGGCGGTACCGTTACACTACCTGTTTCTAAATATACCAACTACGACTTCATTCCACTTCTAACAGCTTTTCCAGTAGTAGTTGATATTATTTCTACCTTATTCTCTTATTACGTTTACTTGTAGTTACCGCGTGTTTTCACAATAGCGGCTGAGCGGCTGCGGAACTTTGCCTCCTCTTTATATACTGCACAGAGTTATTTTTCAACGACTAGCCAAATTTTATAATGAATTTTAAATATAAATACGGATATACACTTTTTGCAGTTTTTAATTAGGTTTCTGTGGTTATTCAAAAATATCCGAAAGTGAATGTGATTTATGGGCAACAACTACAGCATACGCACGCTCGTTTGACAACGAGTACGCAATATGTGTATTTGGGTTTATGTGTGTATATATTGATGTATTTATAATACGTATTTATTATCTTAATTTTTTATTGTGTATAATAATATTATAATAATTATTATGAGAATGCTCACTAATCTGATTTACTTTGAATTTGTCCAATATCAAGCCTACTGAAAAAAAATTCAATATGAAATAAGCAGTTCCTTTGTACGATATATCTTTTTAGTTTTCATTATAACATTAACTCATGTGTACATGAATTGTTAAATAAATAAATATAAATATATCATAATATTATGTTGTGTCGCCTACAGTTGATATGCTGTGAAAATTTTTAATACAATGAATTAAGTAGAGAGCGTGCAGTTATTCTGCACTGAATTGTCTTGATTAAACTAAATAATAAAATATTTACTTCAGTTCTTTCTGTCGGCAATATATTTTTTTAAATATTTTAATTAAGTTTAGTGTTACTTCAATACCTGATAAAACTTTTTTACTCACGATATGCATGTCGAAACATATGACAAAACGGATTACCTGCGGAGCCCATCGTTCCTGTCCACTACTGGGGAAAGGTGGTTCGGCAAGTGTTAACATTCTGCAACAAAATTGTTATACTCAAAGCATTGGTGAAAGTGCATAATCAGCAGATATTTCGAATAAAATTATTTTTAAAAAGCGTCTTCATATAAATTGATGCGACATTGGATGGTAATCTAATAATTAAAAATAAAAAATTGGAATTAAATAATTTCCAATTTTATCTAGATCAACATTAATATAATGAACAGAAAATATTTTAATTAGTACCAAAATTTATATATAAGAATTTATATGTAAAAATTCTTTACTATAAAATACAAAGGTAAAGGCAAGGATATTAATAAATTCAAATTTGTAATATCAGCTTATAGTAACTGAATAAATAATTTCGTATTTCAGTAAGTAACACAAGTATGTGACAAACATAAATTAGAAATAACTGTGTAAAGCTTCAGACTATATACGTCTTACTCCTAGTCACAGGCCCCCTTTATTTCTGAGAGGGATTTAGGGCAAGGAAGTGTCCACGATGCTTCTCCAAAGCGTTTTGGCGGAGTTTACATGACTTGAAATAATTTTTTTTTTTAATTTTACAGACGTGCTGGTTGGCAAATCAGTACCGAAAATTGCACTAACAATATCATTATTTCCGACGGGATTCGAATCCGTTTTGCATCCACTTAGCATCAGGTGACTCGTTTATCACCCTTATCTTATAAAAAGAAACAATGCGAACTTTTGTATACAAATTATTGAATACTAGGATGGGTTTTACAAAATACCATCGAGATCTGAGACATACAATTGGAATTCGGCCCACTTCCTTCTATCTTTTGGTATTATTAAAACTAAAAACTTGTCTCCTATCTTCTATTCTTTGCTTTGTTAAAAATCCGTCCACATTATAAAAAGATACCCGCGATGTGTACATTATAAAAAGATCCAAGTTATAGCAGTCCGTGTGAAATTAGATTTTTTGCAAAGTTTTTCAAGATATTCTTTTACACTGACTTAAATAGAATAACTAATATAAATATAATTTCTGACATGAACAATTATCCAGTATAGTTCACTGTGATTAGTATTTTTGTTGTATAGTATATCTATTGCGTTATTGAAAAATGTTTACACTAAAACAAATAAATTGTAATATTATTATTATTTTAAATTTGATTTGCAATACTAGTCACAAAGTTATAAACTTTAATATCAAAACGATGCAGTAAGAATGTCTTCGTATTATTAAAAAAAACTGTTTAAAAAATCATCGAGAACTCTCATGGCAATATTTCTAAAATATCTAAGGATTCACCTATACCAAAGTACCTCAAAATTTAACAAAAACATCAAACCAAACGTGATTACTAACTTTCACACTTGTAATATTAGCTTGGATATAAAATCCAAGGCCGGTATTCAGAAACCAAATAATCGACTTAGCTAGACTTGAGTGTAAACTAGACATTGACTCTATACCACTCTTCACCTAAGTTTTAGGCTTACTTACACGACGCTGTTGAGAAAAATCAATGCAGTAAGCGAGATCATGATGACTTCACAGTAAGCAATTGGTGGTGACCGAATATTTTCGTACGATGATATAAAATAACTTTGCCACAGATTTGAGCTAAAAGTCCTTCAAGACAAGAGATAGATTTGTATAAATATTTAAAATCCAAAACCTTGTTTTTCTAAACCTTATTTAAAATTGAAGTATTACAAAACTAATTTGCATTTATATACTTCAACACAAAACATGATAACGCAGATAAATTTTCGATAAGTAAAAAACATTTGCAGATTATCAAATTTTAACCTGTATAATATGATGTACAGTCAGCGTCACAAGGAAGTAACTATCACTTTCAAATCAAAACAGGGAAGTAATAACCAAATATTCAGACATCTAAAGTGGTCACTAATATTTAAATACCCAAAGGCACATAATTAGTGAAACCAATAAGTATTTTTGTTAAATATAATATCGTTACACAGATAAATTCAAATGTGTTATAATTTCAGTAAAACTGCCCATAATATAGTAGTAACACGCAAAACATCAATGGTATTCAAATAGATAAGGTTCAAAATTATTCAAAATGTGTGATACATTATCTGGATACGAATAGGTTCAATTTATCATGCGCCTTTTATTTTGCCTGCGAAAAAGGAGCTCGGCACCACATAACCCGTCGATACACACCGTCAACAACAGAGCTACGTAGACTGGTATGCGTGATCGCTACCATGGTACCATGGTACCACTAATTTGTCTTGAGTTGTTAATTGTAAACATGATTGTAAGCTATTATTTAAAAAAAAGATGGTCCCGCTGGGTTTTTTGCTGGTTCTTCCCAGGACAGAAGTTTTTTTGCGAACCAATGGTAAAAAAATTTACTGCCAATGAGTACTCGTATTCTTTATAATCTACATTGAATAAAAAAGTTTCTGTTTCTGTTTCTACTGGACCACCGATGACTACGCGCGCTAGTGATTAGTTCTCTTCTATTTAGATCTTGTACAGAACTTGTTAACTTCAGGCACTTAAAAATATCACCAACATATGGCCCTGTAACTTGCCATTTTTGTTTGAAGAACCTAAATCGACCAAGGCCGCTTACGTGACGTTGCTGCATTTAGGCTCGTTAGTTCAATGCCTTCGTTTGATCGCGTCTACAGCTAATTTGAAGTCGCCTTCAAAAGGACACTAATGCAAGCTGTTAAAATTTAACATCTTCGAAATCTTCAAAACGACATCGACCTAGCTTCTAAAATAATAACGTCGGGTCATCGCTTCCAAGATAGGTTCAACGTCTTTGATAATACCGAAAAAGATATTTGTGAGTTTTTTCTGAATGTTTCCCTTCTTTAGATGTAGGTACTTTTTAACATCTCGCTAAGAAAACTGAAAATTTTCAAAAATAGGGAAGTTAACGGTTTCACCCCGATTTTCGAAAATCGAGTTTTCATCAGATCTCGACATTTGGGAGATCCCAGGAAGCTATTCTGACTAATTTCACGTGGACGTCCGTACAGATGTGTGCGTGAGTGCGTGCGTGTGCGAGTGTGCGCGTGCGTGCGCGCGTGCATGTGCGTGTGCGCGTCTGCGCGTGTGCACGTGTATTCGCGCGGGCGCGCGTTTGTGTGTGTGTGTGTGTGTGAACTTTTCATAACTTTTGAACGTCTTACTCAATTGAGATGCGGCGTTCTAAAGATCTCAATGTGTCTCTTCTCTAGTTACATTTAAAACAGCTTTGCACTTATCGACGCTTTAACCAATCGATGTCCGAGATACATGCAACGTCACGCTCACATCAATTCATTACGATTACATGGCATATTAAGATTAGCTACTTGCTAATTATACTGTTTTTATATACTTATTCTACCTGAAATGGGAGAGCAGACCAAACTAGACTGCTACCATAGGAACAAATAAGAGGAGAAAACGATCGTAAGTGTCGATCGGCGACCATGGACTACTGCTACACCAGTTGCAGTTTAATTAAACGGAACCAAGGGTGCAACGAGACCCGATTTACAAAAGTTTTGTACGATCCTGGATCATGTTGGCATTAAGTAAATGATTAAAATTCAGTTCAAGTTAAAAATGTACAATAAATTAATGACTTTATGCAACATACTTTTTTATGTTTCTTGATCAAATGATGTTTTGTTTGTAATTTAAAGTATTCTAATAGATTTTACTAATTAAAGTTCTATTGTTCTGTATTTAATTTTATGTTTTATTAAATGTTTAATTTTTTAAAGATAAAGATAAAGATAAAGATATTTTATTTTGCAAATATGGGTACAGTACATGGAAATATAGGTAGTGAGTTCAGCCATATTTTACCAGTAGGCATGCAAAATATACAGAAATATAAACTAATCACCTAAACAGCTATAACAAAATAAAATAATAGCACAAAAACAAACATAATTTAAATTTTTTAACATTATATATTTTTTCTTAATCTCAAAATGAAAAATTTTTTTCAGTCAAATATTCTGTTACGCTATAGTATGCTTTGACTGTCAAGAAGCTACGAAGCCTTTTTTTAAATATCGATAACGGCAATTCTTTCCAACTTTTTGGTATTTTATCATATACGACTGGAGCCATGCAGTATATACTTTTGCGCATTAGTGCTGTCTTAGCGGATTGATGACATAAAAGGGTATTGTCGGGTCTATTACGTGGAACTACTTGGTCAAGGCGTTTAAAATGTTTCGGATGCAATTTAACAAACACTGCTACTTCTAGTATGTATAAGCAAGGTAATGTTAGTATTTTATACTGTTTAAAATATGGCATGCAACTATCGGTAGTTTTGAGCTTAAACATCGCCCTTATGCATCTTTTTTGAGCCTTAAACGCTGATTCTTTTTCGGTTGAGTTACCCCAAAATATTATTCCATATCGGAGGTGGGATTCTGCTAAGCCGTAGTAAGCAGTGAGGAGTGCATCCGTGTATACTATTGAAGACAAATTATGTAAAGCATATGCGGTTTTACAATTTTTTTTTTACGTAAAGTATTAATGTGTGCTTTCCAGTTAAGATGTTTATCTATTTCGAGACCCAGGAACTTTGCAGTTTCAACTTCTTTTACAACATCATTATTGTAGTGTACATTTAAGCTCATTCTAGGAATCCGTTGACTGAAATGGATAATTTTTGTTTTATTTAAGTTTATTTTTAAATTGTTTTCGTCCAACCAGTTTACAACTAATTTTAAGGAGTTATTAATGTCATTTTCATAGGTCTCTACACTTTTACATGGTATTGTCACTGTGGTATCATCCGCAAATAGTGTTACTGGTTGCTCAATGCATTTAGGTAAGTCATTGATGTACAATATAAATATAAAAGGACCCAGCACACTCCCCTGTGGTACTCCAAATTTAACTTCGCGCTTTGACGATCGAAATATCTCTTCCTTCTTATTTGCTATATTAATTTGATTAATTTCAGTTATTTGTATTCTATTCTTTAAGTAGGATTCAATTAGATTAAGAACATTGCCTCTAATGCCATAGGCTTCAAGTTTTT